ATTCTTCCAACTAAAGTTTGGGTGATTGCTCCAACCCAGATTATATGTATTGGAGTGTGAAGAGAATGATTGCCTACTTTGGTTGACAGTATTCACTTGTTTATGATAAACCTTTTTGAGTGCTGGAATGTTTGGGCACTGCAAGATAGAATACTTAACACTTTTACATATAGAGCAACACTCATTGGCCTTAGTGATGTTGACACCTCTTTCCTCCTATTCACCTCTAGACTCTCCACCTTGTGGGACAATTTTTTAATTTTGGCAAGTAAGTCTTCACCCTATACTACTCCATAAACCTTAGAATTAGAAATAGAAAGAGAGAAGAAGGTCATTAGAGCTTGGACTTTTGCTTGACAACTTAAGAACATTATTTGAGATTCTTGAATTCACTTGAAGAATTGAAGGTGGAGCTTGGGTTCTTGGATTTTGAGGTAGGGTTTTCCTTTCTCTTGCATATACATTGATGCATCATGTATGTTCTATATCTATTTGTTTAGTATGAGCTAAATATATGCCATGAGTCTTAATTAAATGATGAGTTTACTATGAATTTTTAAACCTACATGCATTAAATGAATTTGGATACTGTGGGTTTGAAATCCTACATTGATTTTTGTTATGGATGTTTGATTGAAGTTGTGTTTGGTGTTGGAAATGAAAGGTGATCATGAAATTATGATTTAAAACTTGTATATTCGGTAATGACAAACTGAGAGTTAGTAGACGATTGAGGCCCTTGAAGGGAGTTACCAAGGCGATTATTAGTCCTAAGGGGGATTGGTGATGGTAATGGTTTTCGATGATAGCCTGTGTGGCATCACAAGATGAGACCCTAGGGTGCAAGACTCAAAAGATTCCTTAGGGATGGTTCATTCATGAACTGGTGTTGGTTTGATGATATTTATCTATATGGGTAGCATACATGAATTTTGGGTGCCAAGAAACTAATAGACAAATATTCCAACATACCTCTTGAGTGGAGTGAGGTAAGGTGAGGTTAAGGCGAGGTTAAGGCAAAAGTATTTGAAGTTAATATTTTTGAAAAATAATCTGAAAAAAATAAGTTTATGAAATTGTGTTCAAAATAAGAAATGATTATTTTACCAGATTTGTTATACATATACTTATATAAAGATTTCTCACTTCGTACTTCATAAAATCAATGGTGCTGGATTATGTTTTAAGAAGAGAGGTTTTATAGTGTTATTTTGAGATTTGATTTCGATGTAGTAAATTCCTTTATGTTTCACTTATGTATTCCAAATGATAGTTCATAGTGTACTTTCAAAAGTGCTTACTACTTATCGTGTACCTAAACTTATTGATAAATTATTTCATTATCTATCATTATGATTGTGAACTATTGGTATTTAAAATCTTGTATATGCTTGAGAAAAGGATTATCCTACTGAGCGTGTGGTTGCTCACCTTTATCATTTAACATTTTCAGTTATATGCATGTGTTAGTAGACTGCATAGTGGGAGTATTGAGGCAAAAGATAGTTTTTATAATTTTTATATATTAGTTAGATTATTTAAAGAATAATGTACGATGATGTATATTATTGATGATTTGTAAATGATTTATATCTTCGTTAATTTGAGGAAAAATGTATAGATTGGGACCTTTTAAATGGTTTACTTATAAAAAATTTGGATATTCTGTATATTATGTTCAAGATGAAAAATTTTGAATAATTAGATTATAACCCGGGGATTGGGAGGACTTCGTGGGCCTCCATTTGCCCCCCCTGATATTGAACGGTAATGACTTATTTGTGGATATCATGAGAATAGATGTATATGATTGATATGATACAAATGATTAGTTAAGTAAAATTATTATGTTTATTGCTTTCACAGGTAGCTCTCACCAATTTTCTGAATGCCTGATTTTCAAAGGAAACTCTATCGAAATTTTTTAAAAGAAAAAATGATTTATGTAAACTAAAGAGATACCTTTTTAGATTTTTTACAACAAACCGACATGTGTTTTTGGAATAAACAAAGTAATTTTTTTTATCATGCTTTTTTGTGAATTTTGGGGCGTGACAGATCAAAGGGAGATTAGGAGGGATGTTCAGCATTTGAGGCACATGATGCAAAATTATGGTTTCATCATGGATGATGAGCCTGAGACACATAGTGGAGATGCAACCATATGAACTGTGACTGACTTTTAGAGACTTAGTATAGGTCATTTGTGAGCTTGAGAGTGTTTTGTTATTTATTCATGGCCTATACTAAATTACTTTTTTGTTTCTTTATTGACTTTTATCTTTTGTTGACTTTTTATTTGTTTAGCTTATTTTGGTTTGTTGTGACATACTCTTGATTGTTATATGTCTTGTTTCTCCCTTGCTTCATTTACTTTCATGATTTGGCTAGTTGATGTGTATTCATACCTTCTTGTTATACTATGATTTTTATGTTATGATTGTTATAGGTCGTCATTAGGTTGATATTTATAACAAATAAGATAAGGATATATTGGGTAACTTGATTCTATATCTTGCTTGTTGCATGTTGTCATTGGGTTGACATTTGTGACAAAAAAAGGGAGAATATTTTAGCTACATATGAGAGGAATTGGGGAGATTTACTCTTGACTTGGCAAGATATGTTGCATATGAACATAGAAAGAAGGAGTTTGTTCAAAAACTCTGAGTAAATTTACAAACTTGGCATGAAGTCACATATTTTATTTAGTTTATTTTTCACTTGTTGTTTTACTTGTGAACACCAACTAAGGGGGAGAACTTGATGTGTTTCATATTAATAGATCAATAGGTTCTCAAACATATTGGGCAAGTTAGTTTTTAATATGTTACATATTTGTGCTTGCATGATGTATACATATTTATGCCCTATGCTTGTCTTGGTACTTTCCAAACATGTGATTATGTTATGTAGTTTTCTAACATATGATGTTTTTCCCGAGGTTTTGGTTTGATTGATGATGTACAGGACTATGATCTTCAAGCTTCATCTAAAGAAGTAAATCCTTGTACTAGATAGAGATTTAAGAGATGTAAATGAGTGTTGAGATTAAATTTACAATTCTTTTGTTCAATGGTTTTGAGTTATAATCTTGATTTCTAACTTGTGTATTTTGTCACTAAATGGCCAAAGGGGGAGATTGTTAGATCATATTTGTAATTGACTAATTTCGTGGAGTCCATTGTGAATCTCACCCTATTCCACGGTCATGATGCTATCAATTTTAAGATCTAAAAGCGTTATTGAAGGGAGGAGATCAAGCATCAAAGTAAAATCATTCAATCTCCGTATACACCTTCATGCTTAGGACAAGGTAATGACCTAGATAACTGAATGAACCCTTAGTTATTTTTTCACTTAGGTTGATTAGGATGAAAATGGAATTGGAAGTAATCCGACTATGACTTCTAGATGATTTAAAAGAAAAGATTTTTTAAGTCATTTATGAGTTTTGAAAATATAGTTTGAGTTACAATCGGACCCTTCTTTGAGCAACACCCTTTAGTGCTCAAGAGGACAAGTTTTTGCATGTTTTGATGCTTAAAAACATGTAGAGGCTGATCTATGCTCACTAACCTTTATTAGAGCGGTCTCTTTATGACTTAGGGAAGGAAATGAAAAAAGACCACAAAAAGCATCATAAGGCTTGTTCTATAAGCTCACTTAAGCGGTGTTTACCTTAGTCGGATTTTAAACGTGTTTTTCATTCCAGCAACAACTGTCCTATGACTGCCCTTCTACCAATCGAGCGGTAGTTCGCGAATCTGAGTTTTCTTATTTAATAAGACTATCCTTATTTCGGACCTATAAATTGGGAGGGTCTTTCCCACACCTAGGTTAAGCATCTTGTGAGATTTCCAAGAGAGAAAATCATCTTTCTACATTGAGAGCTTCCACCATAACCTAGATCCCTAAGACCCAAACGACTACCACTAGAGATTTTTCCCAACCTCACAATTTGGAGAAGAAGATCTTGATGGTTTGATAAACCCATTGGTGTGTGTATACCAAAAATCGTCGGCATGCCCATGATTGCTTGAGGCCTAGACAAATCTTGTCGCAGGGAGGTCTAAGTGAAGTTACACTAGATGTCGAAGGAGGTTCTTTGGCAAAGAGACAACAAGGAAAAAAGCATCTAACTATGGTATCGGTTGAGGTATAAGACTCGAGTACTTGTATGTTGACTTAGAGAGTAGTGAATTAGGTTTTGACGAACCAAGAAGATTTATCGCGATTTTTCCTGAGAGTTTTCTGCGTCAACAAATCACTCATGTTATTTACTGTTTATCATATGCACTTGTGATTGTTTGCATATATGCACACTATGTGTTTGATATTTTAATTGATTGATAACTATTTAATCCATAGTGTGCAATTGTGTTTGGGATTTGGGATCAATGTGAGATTGATTGTGTATGAATTAATTCAATATTAATTAACGTATATCCTCATGGTTAAGATGGATTATGATGACTAAAATGATTCTTACATTAATTATCATATGTTTGTGTGATGAGATAATTGTGGTGGTTTAGGTTTTAATTAATAATCAATTGGGCTAAAATTAAAAAAAAAAAAAAATCTATTCACCTCTCCACTCTAGATAAAAGTGTCTATTGTTTCACATGTATAATCTTGAAAGAAGATCCACATATGGTTCCCTCTCCCAAACCAACAAATTTGTTAAGATTAATGCAAAAAATACTGAATTCTCGGTGAAAAAAGTCCAACTCTTTATCTTCCATAACCAAGAAGTGTGCAATGTACGTCGATTGAAAAAAGATTTCGTATTCGATTGGCACAAATTGAGGAAAGGTGAAAGTGTTGTTCGTGATTTGAAGAGTTTTCAAAATTCGGCATAACCCCTTAATAAGGTGATAGTTAAAGAGGATCTCATTGTTCGTCGTTAGCCGGCGATTAATAAGGTGATCTAATTTCTGTGTATTTTTTTAAATTTAAGTTTAATTTCATGTACCTTCTAATTTGCCCGACTCCATATCGCGGAAGGATGATAGGTTGAGTTGCCACGAGGCCCACAACAGACGATCTAGAGTCCAGGGGCCCATTACAAGACGAGAGGCTGGCGGGAAAGGGTTAAACCCTACCTCGGAGAGAGAAAGAGTCTGCTAAGCCTGGAACGAGTTACCGCTCGAATTCAGAGAATAATTCTTCAATTCTCTATCCAAATGGGCATAAAGGTATATAATTGCTATGGAAGTCATCAGTTTCTCTTTAATTTTGCTCAAATTAATTCACATTCTAATGTGGTTTCATCCACGTTCTTTAGGGTTTAACGAAGCTCTTGGCTGACAATTCTCCAAAGGCCATGAAAGAGCAGAAATTTGAAAGTTATTTTGGCCGAAAAATCGCAATCGATGCCAGCATGAGCATCTACCAATTCCTTGTCCGTACACTCTGCCTTCACATTTGTGGTTATTTATGCTTAGATTTAGTGTACGGGTGTGTGTGTTTGAACTTAAATTGATGTTTATGGATGATGCAGATTGTCGTGGGAAGAACTGGGACTGAAATGCTTACAAATGAGGCTGGCGAAGTTACCAGGTATCTCTTCTCTATATTTTTGCAAGATTATTTTGTCAAGATTATATTTTTGTGTAGGAAAAACCTTGATTACTTTTTATTCGGACTATTCCTTATCATGTAGACTGCTAGATTTGTGGATCCCATTGAGTCCCACTAATCATCCTATGATAGTGGTTCCATCATGTGAATTGGTAGGAAAATTTGATAAGAACAACATGATTGTTATACTCTCTAAATAAGATGTGTTGTGATCCTTTTTGTAGTCATTTGCAAGGGATGTTTACTCGGACAATTAGGCTTTTGGAAGCTGGAATTAAGCCGCTGTATGTTGTTTCTACTTTCTACTTTGTGATATGTATATTTGATTTTTCACTTGACAAAAAAAGTGCATTTTGGAAGTTTCCCGAAAGAAAAAGATATTTATCCTAGATATAGTTTCTGTTCTACCCATTTTGCGTGGTAAAGTTTGTGCATTTCTAAACTACCTTGCCTTTGAATATAGATATGTTTTTGATGGACAACCTCCAGACTTGAAAAAACAAGAACTTGCAAAACGGTATTTGTAGTTGGCAATAACTTGTTTTTGGTGCTCTTTCTTTTGAACATGATTACATATATGAACTGCTCACCTAATTGGATGTTTTTTTACCCAACTCTTTGATGCAGTTACTCAAAAAGAGTAGATGCGACAGAGGACTTGAATGAGGCCTTAGAGGTAGAATATATGTTCCCTAGATTGAAGTTGCATATCAATTTCGGTTATTTTTTCTTCTGCCTTTTCCTTAGTTTTTATTGTATTCATAAATCATAATGATATACTGTATACAACAATGTTTTTATTGTCATTGTAGACTGGCAATAAGGAAGAGATTGAAAAATTTAGCAAACGAACAGTGAAGGTGAGTTCTTCATATATTTTTTCAACCATGTATGCTTTAACTATTTGAAAATCATAGAAATCATAAAGTTGTGTTGTTGGGAAAATGTGGAGAAATTAATGGCATGAAAGTGACTTGATCAAAGATATGTACGCACAAGTGTAAGTGGTCAAGTTGTAGTAATAACTCTGCTAAGTTCGATATCGTATCTACGGGGAATTAATATTGGTTAAACAGAAGACCAATAGAGACAACAGTAAAAAAAAACTTTTGAAATGAGTGGTTGTGGAGAGTTGTATGCTAGAAAATGTTCTTAATAATAAAGAAAAGCTACTCTTTAGTTTGGGGATCCGAAAATATACATGAGTGCTTGAGTGTAATATTTGTGCAACAGTAATAACTCAGCTGAGTGGGTTAATCAATCATTTGGTTAAGCACAATAGAAATGAAGATTGAAAGATTATCATAAAAATCTAGCTTAAGTACTTGTAGGGAATTATAAGTATCACCTATAGTAAGACTCAACTTGTCTATAGGTGATCAAACCATTGTACAAAGTATATTAGCTTTACCAAATATATTCAATATTCAAAAGTTAGATGAAATAAGTATAATAGAAATTGCACAATATATATTACCCAAACACCACATTACACATCTATTACCTTTCACTAAAGAGTGGATGATAAACTACTTACCCTTGATGACCATAAGTGGGCTAGAAAAGTGTGAGAATTTCACCCTCTAAGTAAAGAGAACTTAAAATTACAAAAGATAAATACAAAATCTTTCTTCATTAAAGAGTAAATGAAATACTACTCACCCTTCATGGTCTCAAAGGAAGTTAGAAAAGTGAGAGAAGTTTATCCCTNCTTTCTTCATTAAAGAGTAAATGAAATACTACTCACCCTTCATGGTCTCAAAGGAAGTTAGAAAAGTGAGAGAAGTTTATCCCTTCAAATGAAGAAGATAGAAATTACAAGAGATAAGTACAACGCTTCTTTCTTTACTAAAGAATGAATAAAATACTACTCACTCTTTAATGTTTAAAAGGAGTTAGAAAGGGGAGAGAAGTTCATTCCTCTACATAAAGAAGATAGCTTCAGAAATGTAGAAGTTAGGAATTACAAACATTACAAAGCTTGAAAAGATTTGGAAGAGAAAATGCTTCTAAGAAGTGATGATCTTCTTCTAAAGTGTAAGGGGTATTTATAGAGGGTGATGGGCGGCAAAGAAGGCTGAAAATCTGTATGAAATCCAAAGCTTGATATGAAAATAGTTTCTAGCTTTCAGGGGAGACGTCCGGATGGTAGTGGTAGGCGTTCGGACGCCACTATCTGTTATGGAAAANTATATGAAATCCAGAGCTTGATATGAAAATAGTTTCTAGCTTTCAGCGGAGACGTCCGGATGGTAGTGGTAGGCGTTCGGACGCCACTATCTGTTATGGAAAAACATTGTTGAATTTATAATCTGGAAGAGGAGTTTGGACGGTTGTGGTAAGCATCCGGACGCTTNAAACATTGTTGAATTTATAATCTGGAAGAGGAGTTTGGACGGTGGTGGTAAGCATCCGGACGCTTGTCTACAGTCATCTTTTCCACTTTGTGGCCGTTTGCTTGGGAATCCTTTGATAGGGATGGGTGTTCAAACGGTGGTGGCCAACCTCCTTCTAGAAATTCTTCTTTCTTTCTCTCGAATCCATTTTTTCTGTCTCCTTTTGTCCCCAAACTTTTGCCAAATTACACTTTCACCCTGCAATTCAAGTTATACCTAAATATACCCTATACTAACAAAATCATTCAATTTACAAACAAGCAAGCATGAATTACAAGCACTTAACCCATTTAATGTATATTGAAATGTCACTTTTAAAGGTTAATCAGAAAGTGGCTGCCATTTCCCACAGCCCAAAAGATTGCATCCACGGCTTCCCATGTGCTAGAAAATTGTAGAGGCATATTAACCTTCTAAAACATCTCCCATCCATACGGTATTATTTGGTTGGACTTGAATTATGCAAGAACATGAGATCTAAAAAACATCTAATTGGCTGGATCACAAAAGGAAGACCTTAACCCAACATAAATAAAAAATATGTTGAATTAAAAAAATTTTAGTGTTCAGAACTTGGAAAATACAAATCTTAGACCTATCAGAAATGACTAACTATTTCCAACCAAGAATTGTAATGAACTAAAAATGTCCGGGTCTGTTGTGTTCTTCTCTTTGTGCAAATGCTACTTGACGTAGCGTTTAGGGAAGAATCAAGTTAGAGAAGCCGGTGCAACAAGCTGATCTGACATACATCCAAACACATGCACATTTGGATTACTTTTCTCTTGCGGCGTGCCATCAAACTAGCTGTGATGGATGAACGCAAAAAGAACAAACCATACTTTGCAGGGGGACCCAACCCTGCTAATGCCGTGTTTTAGGATTTCGACAAGTTGGCCATAGACATATCTGCTTACTTCTGTAGGATCAAGGGCTCCCTTTTCTTTTATGGATTCATATACTCAAGAATTTTGAAGAACTTCCCCAAGTCCACCCCATTAAAAGAGTGGGTTTTTTACTTAGTTATAGAATACGATGTCAGGACCTCGGAGAGACATAGTTGACTGCATTGATCTCAGAAACTATGCCACCCACGAAATTTAAAGAACCTAAAGGAGCACAAGTCATCTATTTTGCAAAACATCGTTCTTGCTAAGGTTGTATGCCTTTTTTCAACCTACTCAAGTCTAACCATACTATCCTGGACACAGGTAGAGCTATTCTATTTACTTATACATCATGACACTGATGATGAATTTAATTGCTTGACTCAATTTTTGTTTTTGCTCCTGCATGAAGGTGGTACGAATACTTGCACGTTATTGAGGCCATGTGCTTCTTACTTCTCAGGTAACCAGGCAACACAATGAGGACTGCAAAAAGCTTCTAAGACTCATGGGAGTGCCTGTAATAGAGGTGATTTTTTTTGGGAAAAAGTATTAGTGATGTGAATTTATGCATGCAGAAACGGTTTGTACCTCGTCTGCACAAAGCTTCTCCACGAATTATATATGCTTGCTGACCATGCTTTGTAAGTAGAATATGTCAAATTGTAACTTCTCTTTTCTGTTGGTTTATTTAGGCTCCTTCTGAAGCAGAGGCTCAGTGTGCTGCTCTTTGTAAATCAGGAGAGGCATGTATTTTACAGTTGATATTAATTTTGTTATTTAGGTTGCATAATGCCTATTGAAATTAAATCATTCACCATTCCATTAATTTTTTTCCTGCAATTCTTTTGCCAAACAAGGTCGTTCATTTTAACAGCATCTGAGTGCGAGTGTGCATTTTTTTTTTCATCTTTTCATAGTTCCATGATTCCATAGACCTTTTTTGTACTTCTCGTTTTAGAAAAAGAATAAAGAAACAAAATAGAAAGGAAATTGTGCTGATGATTCTTTTGTGTAAGGCCTTCATCAATTGGGAGGGATTTGCAACTGCAAACTATATCAGAAATAAATGACATTATCCAAAACAAAGGCATGCGCTAACATGCTGTCAAAAGTTGAGATTTCGAAGTTCATATTAAAATTTTTCTGCTTGTCAGGTTTATGCTGTGGCCTCTGAAGACATGGATTCCCTGACTTTTGGGGCTCCTAGATTTCTTCGCCATCTGATGGATCCTAGCTCAAAAAAGATTCCAGTTATGGAATTTGAAGTTTCAAAGGTTCCTAAAACTTTGAACTTGATTGCGGCTGCTTAATCATTAATCCAGTACTTCTAATAGTTACTATTTTTAAGGTTTTGGAGGAGCTGAGCCTTTCAATGGATCAATTCATTGACTTGTGCATCCTTTCTGGGTGTGATTATTGTGACAGCATTCGAGGTACTATGAGTTTTCAGCGCATGTATGTGCATTAAAATATGTTTGGCCTCTCTTGCCTAGATATCCTGTAACTACACAAGATTACAGCATACCTCTGATGCATGTTTCTGGTGCTTTTTTGAGAGAGGAAGCTAATATGAGGTAAGGTGAAGCCAAAAGTATTACTCTGGATCAGAAGGAAATTTGCTCTTAATGCATCCCTTTAGTGAAGCTTCCTGTGGCTAGGGTTGGGGGTCCTACAAAAGCAATGGATGAAGAGGCTATCACATGCTACGGACCCCGTATTGCATTCATACATTTGTTATGTACTTTGTGTATGTCCTTTTTCCTGTACCTATCTTGGCTGAGAAATCTTACTGTCCAAGTAGTTCTTGGATTTCCTTTACAATTAGGAAGTTGGAAATCTAGTGTTGACTGTTGCAAACTCCTACTCTTGGATATCTTGAATGTAATCTGTTTCAGCTGTACTCATACTTGCTCTCCCTCCTTTTCGTTTATGACGATCTAGAACTGAGAATACTCTTCCAAACACACTTCACTCAGAAGTAGGGTTCCCTCAAAGCATCGAACCTTTTGGAAAATTTTGTCCGATCATAGCTATTACATCCTATCCAAAACCAAAAAAAAAAATGTTTTGAATTACAATTTGGCCAAGTAATCTTTACCCATTCCCCGAGTCTGCAATCATAACACTGGTAAAGCAAGTATCTGTTCAACTTGCAATCTGGAATGGGAATTCTTTGTAAGTCCATTTGCTTAAATTCCCTTTAGCATTTACCATGGCAATTGCCATACATGTTGTGCACCATCTTGTTATTTAGAATTCCAACTATAACTAGCCTTGTTGGTTACCTTGTAACTGTATACATATTTCTTTCACATCAAACATACTTGATGCTTTCAAGCTTTTACCTGGAAATAATGAAGAATGCTTAATATGCAAAATGTTTGTAGGCTTTATTTTTTGTTATTTTTTCTTGTTCATTTGGTATATTGTTTGCAGTTAAACATTAATTAACCTCGAGCCTTGCCAATTCCCTTTTGCTTCAACATTTCATATGTAAATATCAGCTGAAGTTTATGCTCTGCTTCCCTTAAAAGCCGTACTCTGTGCATCAGGAATTGGGGGCCTGACTGCTTTGAAGCTCATCCGCCAACATGGTTCAATAGAGAATATACTGGAGAACATAAACAAAGAGAGGTGTTTCTCATTATTCGGTTCAAAATTTATCAACTTGATTGGCTGTTGAATGAGAACATACTATGTTATATGCAAGGATCAAAATTTCATTTCTTTTCCACTGAATTGACCAAAACTTTTCTGTTTCTGAAATGAAACAATGATCGAAAATCGAAATTCCAATTTTTTGACTTGTGTTCCTAATGTTTTGGCATGCTTTGACCAAGGTTTTGGAAACAAATTTCCAAATATTTTTCTACTCTGTTTCCAAAATTTTTCCGAAACGTCTTCACTTATGAGCTGCCCAAAACTAAGTACCAGAAACAAAATTTTAATCCTTATTTATATGTTGTCTTGTTTTTGGTTTAGGTGATATTTTTCATGTATTTATATATCATTCTAAGGGAAAGAAGCTATGAAAACATGTACATATCCACATATCAAAAATGGGCTTTATCTTCATGCCTAAAAGCCGGATTCAGTGTGACTGTACAATACCACAGTTTTTCATGCTCAAATTATCCTTCACAAGTAAAAGAAGGCTGAACTTATTCCTGGGCATGCATCTATGACGTAATGACTGCATTTGGGTGCCTGTGCCTGTGCATGTGAGGGGTCGCAACCTGGACCAATTAACATTGTTGGTAATTTGCGTAAAAAGTTTACACCTAATCTTCTTCTTCATCTTCTGTCACCATGAATCAATTATCTGCAAGTATACCTATTTCAAATGCCTTGTGTCTGTAATGCACACCAACTTTAAAAAATAGGCTATTGGAGTTTCTCATATTTTCCCATTGGTGCGCTGGTTTTTTTGTTTGATACATGATACCCTTTGATTCTTAGTTCCGAATGAGACTTTGAACAACTAGAAGTAGCCTCTATTAGATCAACTTGCCCGTTTTGTTTAAATAATAAAAAACAGAAGTATCATTTTTAAGTCTTAATCTTGTTTCTCTTATTTGAAATCTTCTCGCATCTATCATTTTGACATGTTTTATTAACAATAATGAGGGTAAAAGTATTAAATTGCTCTTGTATAGATTAACAACCCATAAGGCCTAGTAGTTGTGTTTTGATATTTGTAGTTTTTCCTGCTTTTGTGATGGGGTATATCATGAGTTGGTAATTGTATTTTAGAAAAGTATAAAGTTAGCTGTATCTTGCCAAGGTGCATCAACTGTGTCCTTTGCTATCCGTTTAATTAGACTAATTTTGATGAATATATATTTAGGATATAATTTTTTTTTGGGAAAAATATTAATTTAAATCTTCAATGCGATATTCAATGATAAAGTAAAGTCCATGTATTATCATGGGTACTGCATCTGGATGGGCGAGTAATTTTGCCCTCTAAAGTTTCTAAGTTCCTTTGACGTTGAACAGTTAACAACCATGCAGTAATAGACTGTTTCTAGATCGATACTTAGAATAAATGTTTCTTGATATGCAGGTACCAGATACCTGATGATTGGCCATATCAACAGGCCCGCCACCTTTTCAAGGAACCATTAGTTTTTTCTGGTGATGAGCAACTCGAGATTAAGTGGAATGCTCCGGATGAAGAAGTGATTGATTTTAGACAAAACTTTAGATTGTCTTGTTCTTTCTTCTCTTTGCATTTCTACAGTGGTTTCTTTTACTTTGTCATTTTTAGGGGCTGATAAACTTTCTTGTGAACGAAAATGGATTCAACGGTGACAGAATTACAAAGGCACTCCCTAAATTCTTAATTTTCCTACGATTGATGTGCATGTGGATTATTGCTTCACAGGAGTGATGTCTACTGTTACTAATTCTGGATTCTGCATTATTGTAGGCTATAGAAAAAATCAAAGCAGCCAAGAACAAGTCATCACAGGGCCGGTATGAAATGCTTAACAAGTTCAAATGAATTGGAAAAATATTGATTATTTGTACTTTCTGGAAAAAAATTGTTTCTTTCTTAATGTACACCTTGTTGCTGTCCTAATTTTTTTAATTTTTATGCATCAACAGATTAGAGTCTTTCTTTAAGCCAGTTGTTAGCACTTCTGTGCCAGTTAAACGTAAGGTATGTTGTCATCTATCATTTGAAGCATCTGCTGCTGGTGGAAGTAGGTTTTTTGAAATCCAATTTCCTACACCTTCTGAAAAGAAATTTAATTTCCTACATGGTGGACTACATTAGATGTGGCTGTTTCATGCTAAAATATTGGTAAAGGTAAGAGGTTTGCAGATAGCATTCCTCTAGATGGTTAATTTTGTTATTGACAATGCTGCCCTGCCTCACTTGGTCTATTTTCTTAGAGACCATGAGATTCAATTCATTATCGTGACACATCCGTTGAGATGCTAGTCCATCCTTTTTCCACTGTGCCACATTGACTTTAGCCTTCACTTGCTGCTTCTTTTATCCATGCTCTTTTGTAATATTAGGTGCTTCAACTTAGTTTTTTGTGAATTGAACCTTTGGTTGATTAGGAAAATACTTATATGTGATGAAATTATCTTAATGCCCTTGCTAGTTTTTCCATGCACCTTTTGCATCCCCTCCTTATGGAAGGTCTAGGAATAATTGCCCCTACCTCATGCCACTGGTGGTTAGTGTGTTTGAAATCATCATTCCTGTCATTATAGAAGCATTCCTTATGGAATGTAAAACACACTTTTCTTATCTACTTCTTCATGTTCTATTCGGCCTCTAGCATATAGGTTTCTGTTAGATTTCCTTCCTCAGAATCGTGGGAAATAAAACAGACAAAGATAGAACATTTACACCGAAACTTGTTCGATTTTTACTGGAGTCTAGTCCTGATAGGCTACCATAATTTTTGGTACCCCCGGCTGACAGGAAACTCAATGCATTCTTGGATCCCACAAATCAGTAATGAAGCTTAAGATGTTTTCTCTTCAAGACTCTACGCGATCCAGGCTAATGGTTGTAGGTATCCTAGGCCTGCCAACTTTAGCTCTGGGTTCTAAGCACTCCATGCTGGTATCCAGAGGTGTCTGCTTTGGCATATGAAGCTGAAACTGGTGGTCCTTCAGAGTAAATTTGTGCTTATTCTCTGCTTTCTTAATTTGCTTGGCTACAGCAAAATTGTCATATATTTATGGTGATCTTGAATTTGTGTTTTCTTGATGTTATGGTGCTATCACATCATCAATGTGCAATAAAGTGATGGAGAGACCAAATAAATATTTGGTAGTAACTTAGAGCTGCAACTTTCTGGAGCTTCAGTCGGTCTACAGAAAAGTTAACTTTTTGTTGATAGGACACATTCTACTTTATTAATAATATAGTAACAATCTATATAAAGAGAAGGGAGAAAGACTATTAAGCTCCCAGTCAAAATTTTGCCTGCCATTATCTCTTACAAATGAATTGGATATTTTCATTTCCCTTTAGTTATTTCTCTAATAAATTCACCATCTTCTTAATGGGGCCGGATTTTCTTAATGTATTCAGAGTTTTCGAGCTTCAATATTTCACTTGTTTTCTTTGTTCCCTTTTCCTTTGGGGGAAAGAGAATATTGTCCAACTGAACAAACACATTCCTTGCCTCAAGCTATATGAAGCAAGAACATTGCAAATTTTACATTTAGGTTAGTCACTCTCGTGCTACACCATTTACCATTTGATCTTTTTGGGCCACAAGTTGTATAACTGCTCTGACAGTTTTGCAAATCAATAACTAATGCTCTAGATTCATCATATGCTGCTGTTTTTCTTTTTTTGCCTAGTTATATATAATCCGAATCTTTTCTATATTGTCCATCTTTTTGCCCACCCTAATCACAGGAAACATCTGAGAAGGCTGATAAGGAAAATACTATCAAAAAGTCAAAGGCTGGTGGTGGTAAGAAGAAGAAGTAGCTGATTTGGGATTAAAGCCTTAACATGAAGTGATTGGATGAATGGTTATTGTTCAGGTAAGAATGTTTTATGTAAGTGAGTCTTCTTGTGAATTGTTTGTTTTTGTTTATTCCTGTAAAAGAATATTAGTCAAGCAAACAAATAGGTTTTTTTTTCAGTTGAGCAATTTCTTTTGAAATGATTTTCAACTGAATGTGGCTAACTTTTATCCAAGTTTGGTTAACTATGGTGGAGATTATGGAAGCTCTTCAATTGTCATGTAATCTTCAACGTAATTAGATAAGGAAAACTATAGATTTCCNACTGAATGTGGCTAACTTTTATCCAAGTTTGGTTAACTATGGTGGAGATTATGGAAGCTCTTCAATTGTCATGTAATCTTCAACGTAATTAGATAAGGAAAACTATAGATTTCTGTTCTGTCACTCTGGAATCCATTTTGTGAAAGTTGAACCATTTGGTTGAATTTACTCCGTCTGATTAAAATAAAAGGGTTGGTTTTCTGCTGTTAGGGGGCATGGTAATCAGTTGTCTATGTAATCTTGTGTTGGGTGCATGTGTTAACTACTGCATGGAAAAGCATTCTACTTAAAACAGTGCAGCTCTGGTTTTGCTCATCTGTTATTAAACCTGATAAGATAGGACTAAACTCATGGTTATTCAAAAAATTTTTAACTCGCTAAAAGGGGAAAAAAGTGTTAAAAAAAGGAGAAAGATTCCCTTCATAAGGTGTGAACCAGTGGTCGATGCTTGGGGGTCATGACCATCAAAGGTTCTGGAAGTTCTTTTAAGGCCCGTGCCTTCTTATCATTCTTTTTATGTAATTCCTTCTATATTATATATGCTAGCCCTAGGTTTTTAAGATGAGGATCCTACTTGGATCGATGGGAGAGACTAAAAAATGATTCGTAGGATTGGATCGACATGTCAAATCCTTTAAACTGAAAAATGGGACTAAAAAAATATGTAACAATATAGAAGTATTAAAAACAGTCATAAAACAAACCTAGTATATTTCCAAACTGTAAAAAGGTTATGAAAAACATATGTAGCATAAACATATGATTAAAATTTGAGAAATTACAATATGGACATTCAAGAGGGTAGAAAATTAGAGTTGGATTGTTAATCTTGTGAGATTTTTTGAAGAGAAATAGTAAAATTGACATGTTTTGATCTTAAAAGAGAGAGATAGAGGAGAGACTGCGAAATTCAAAACATTTTTGATTAAAGAACTTTGACTATTTTACGTCTAAAAAAAGAATTGAAATAGGAGAATGAAAATAGAAAATCTAATTGGTTGTGATCACTCACTGAGGAAAAGAAAATGAATTTAATTGTTATTTTCAATTTTCTATAACTAAGAGTTTTTTGTCGTTTTTCTCAGTCGCTGAAATTTCCTATTAAAATAATAAGGTACGAGGTGGTTATATATTGGTTGGGTTTTTAGATATTATGACAATAAATATGAATTGTCTTGTTAAAAAAAAGTAAAAATTGAAAGGCAGTGTAATATATTCTTATTTTTGTCAATAAGGACAAATACAAACTTTTTAAGTCATTAAGTTCATATACGATAGAATATATTAGGTGTGTGGTCCCACTTTGTTATTTTTAAAATCTTTAATAACAATAATATTCCTTATCTTAATTATCACATTTATGAGTCTCTTCGATCTCTCTCTGCCATCAATTACTATATCTCTTTTCTCTTTCCTCTCTCCTCTCTTTTTCGTCCTATTATCCATCTCACTTCTCTTTCTTCAAGTCGCTTCTCTCTCCTCTATCTTCCATCCCACTATTTTTCTATCCTCTCTCTTCAATCCCTCTTTTTCTCTCTTATCTCTCTTTAATTTCTCTCTAATGCCCTTCTCCCTTCTATCTCTTATTTAGATTCATTTCTCTCTCTTCTCTTTTCTTGTATCTCTCTTCTATATCTTATTTAATCTTTGTCTCTTTCTCCTATCGCTTTCATTTAACTCTTTCTATCTTCTCTCTCCTTTGCCCTATATCGTATTTAAATTTTTTTCTTTATCCATTTATTATTTGTGCTCCTTAAAACCATTAATATATTGATAGAAACCTCTGCTTTTCAGATTGTTGTGGATATTGGCTCATCTTTGTAGCAAGGAGCGTCGTCGAACTTGTCCTTGCATATGTCTCAAGTATCGTTGTTAATCTTGCAATCTTGATAGAGGTTTGTGTATACTTATTCTTATATATTGTGAAAATTTTTGCTTAATTTTGGAATGTGTTCTTGTGGGATAGAAGTTTGATAACTTCTTGTTGGATAGGTGTTTGAGGAATTGTTACTATTCCAGAACAGTGATAGTATAGTATTTTCACTATTCAAGAATAGTTATATTAAGATATATATATATATATATACATAGTTATTAGTATCGTACGATACGTCACAATATACCTGAAAAACGATGCGTATTGTGTCTCTGTATCGTTTTTATACCGTATCGTATGATACACGATATAATACGCCTGATATGTACGAAACATGACGATTCTTTTTCTTTTTTTTGGTTGAAATGACATCGTTTTTTCCCGGAACTTATTTTTAAAGCACTAGCTTGTGAAATAACGTCGTTTTAATGGTTATGGTTTAAAAAAAATAAATAAAGCCTGATGTTAAAGTTATTTAATTGAATTTAAAATTCTTGATTAATATTAAGGTTATTCAAGCAGTTGAGATTAAAAGTTTGAATTAGAGGTCTTTGCATTTTGATATTGAACTATGTTGAGAACTTGAATAGTTGGTGGAATATTAATAAAATACTATGTTATTATGACGCTATGCCTTTTTTGACAAAGGTATATACATATTTTATTATTAATTATTTAAAAATTAAAATAATTTTTGATTAGTGCATATATTGTATCGTCAGATTCGTATCGGGATTTTGATTAGTGCTCTGTCTCATCTTTCTCAAAAAAGTTTACCGCATGAATGTTTGTCTATTTATAGATTGGCCACGTTTTTTGTGACACTTTTATCCTTACACATGTCTTGCCCCCATCACAAAGGAAAAAGAAATTGAAAAAGAAAAAAATAATGGTCCTAGTTCTGTCCTATGGCAGAAATCCTTTTGTATTTGGGCATGGGAGCATCTATAAAAGGGATACAACATCAAGCACAAATGCACAATTGAAATGAAGCAAAGTTATGAATGAGATAACCCTAAATTTTTGCTGGTAGAGTTCTAATACGGTTTCACTACTGTAACACAAGGTTTCTACCATGTGGGGGACTAAGATTGCCAATTCAGAGTTTTCATGTAATAGGTCATAATTGTTTAGGATTGTGAATGCCCCTGATTATGTTTGTCATCTGCTGCTTGATTATTGCAAAATCTGTTGGATTCTGGTTATTGCATTTATTTAATAGAATACGTGAACAAACATTGATATTTACTATTTGGAAGTGGAATAAAACATACAGTTGGAGTGATGTGAAGGTTCAAAATAAAAGGGGAAGAAACCCATTTTTGCTATTGATTAGTTGACTCTGACTCTTGCGATTTACCTGTATACTGCATGAATATTTTATGTCTAACATGCCTTGATAAGTAGTTTTTTATACTTTGCAGGTTTGTAGTTCCCAGATCTTGTGAAAAAAGTGGCATGCACGACTCGAGGAAGCCTTTTGATTGTATGGCCTTAACCAGACATCCAGTTGGTGATATTGAAGTTTTTGAGTTTCTATTTATGTACCCGGGAGAAACTGCTGTTGTTCTAGGACTTGGACACTCATGTCTATTAGTTAAGCAGTTCTTGTTTCTCTGTTTATGCCGAAACATGTGGTTTTCCACAATCTANAAGTTTTTGAGTTTCTATTTATGTACCCGGGAGAAACTGCTGTTGTTCTAGGACTTGAACACTCATGTCTATTAGTTAAGCAGTTCTTGTTTCTCTGTTTATGCTGAAACATGTGGTTTTCCACAATCTACCTCCCGTAACTGTTTTAATTAAGTTCCTTTACAGGCATAGTTAGAAAGAGCGGTGGACATGATTTTCAAGGCCTTTATTTCTGGTTAGGGTCCCCCCTCCGGTCTTGACTTGTCTAATCTTGACACCCTAGAGGACGTTTGAACTTCAACAACCTTCCGTTTGATATAGGCTCTTTTGAATCTAAACTGCTGTGGTTGTGCAGGAGTTAAAAGCATCCCCCTCCAGCTACCTGGACTGAACTTCATACTGGAGTGCAAGTGGCACAGGGTTGATGCTTCTACCTAGTGAACAAGGATGGACTTTTTGATGCTTTGCACTTGGATGTAAGGGAGTTTGAGGGTGATCTAAAAACAGTTTTGTTTCTAGTTCTACTGTAGAAATGTGGCTAGTTTGAGTTGCAGGGAACCAAGGAGCGAGGATGGAATTTTCATTTTTTTCCCCATCGAAACAACTAAACAGTTTCTTCTTGTTTAGATTAGTGCTTTTGAATATTTTGGTAACATTTTCTGAATTTTTTCTTTATTCTGTNGTGAGTCTTCTTGTGAATTGTTTGTTTTTGTTTATTCCTGTAAAAGAATATTAGTCGAGCAAACAAATAGGTTTTTTTTTCAGTTGAGCAATTTCTTATGAAATGACTTTCAACTGAATGTGGCTAACTTTTATCCAAGTTTGGTTAACTATGGTGGAGATTATGGAAGCTTTTCAATTGTCATGTAATCTTCAACGTAATTAGATAAGGAAAACTATAGATTTCTNATGGAAGCTTTTCAATTGTCATGTAATCTTCAACGTAATTAGATAAGGAAAACTATAGATTTCTGTTCTGTCACTCTGGAATCCATTTTGTGAAAGTTGAACCATTTGGTTGAATTTACTCCGTCTGATTAAAATAAAAGGGTTGGTTTTCTGCTGTTAGGGGGCATGGTAATCAGTTGTCTATGTAATCTTGTGTTGGGTGCATGTGTTAACTACTGCATGGAAAAGCATTCTACTTAAAACAGTGCAGCTCTGGTTTTGCTCATTTGTTATTAAACCTGATAAGATAGGACTAAACTCATGGTTATTCAAAAACTTTTTAACTCGCTAAAAGGGGAAAAAAGTGTAAAAAAAAGGAGAAAGATTCCCTTCATAAGGTGTGAACCAGTGGTCGATGCTTGGGGGTCATGACCATCAAAGGTTCTGGAAGTTCTTTTAAGGCCCGTGCCTTCTTATCATTCTTTTTATGTAATTCCTTCTATATTATATATGCTAGCCCTAGGTTTTTAAGATGAGGATCCTACTTGGATCGATGGGAGAGACTAAAAAATGATTCGTAGGATTGGATCGACATGTCAAATCCTTTAAACTGAAAAATGGGACTAAAAAAATATGTAACAATATAGAAGTATTAAAAACAGTCATAAAACAAACCTAGTATATTTCCAAACTGTAAAAAGGTTATGAAAAACATATGTAGCATAAACATATGATTAAAATTTGAGAAATTACAATATGGACATTCAAGAGGGTAGAAAATTAGAGTTGGATTGTTAATCTTGTGAGATTTTTTGAAGAGAAATAGTAAAATTGACATGTTTTGATCTTAAAAGAGAGAGATAGAGGAGAGACTGCGAAATTCAAAACATTTTTGATTAAAGAACTTTGACTATTTTACGTCTAAAAAAAGAATTGAAATAGGAGAATGAAAATAGAAAATCTAATTGGTTGTGATCACTCACTGAGGAAAAGAAAATGAATTTAATTGTTATTTTCAATTTTCTATAACTAAGAGTTTTTTGTCGTTTTTCTCAGTCGCTGAAATTTCCTATTAAAATAATAAGGTACGAGGTGGTTATATATTGGTTGGGTTTTTAGATATTATGACAATAAATATGAATTGTCTTGTTAAAAAAAAGTAAAAATTGAAAGGCAGTGTAATATATTCTTATTTTTGTCAATAAGGACAAATACAAACTTTTTAAGTCATTAAGTTCATATACGATAGAATATATTAGGTGTGTGGTCCCACTTTGTTATTTTTAAAATCTTTAATAACAATAATATTCCTTATCTTAATTATCACATTTATGAGTCTCTTCGATCTCTCTCTGCCATCAATTACTATATCTCTTTTCTCTTTCCTCTCTCCTCTCTTTTTCGTCCTATTATCCATCTCACTTCTCTTTCTTCAAGTCGCTTCTCTCTCCTCTATCTTCCATCCCACTATTTTTCTATCCTCTCTCTTCAATCCCTCTTTTTCTCTCTTATCTCTCTTTAATTTCTCTCTAATGCCCTTCTCCCTTCTATCTCTTATTTAGATTCATTTCTCTCTCTTCTCTTTTCTTGTATCTCTCTTCTATATCTTATTTAATCTTTGTCTCTTTCTCCTATCGCTTTCATTTAACTCTTTCTATCTTCTCTCTCCTTTGCCCTATATCGTATTTAAATTTTTTTCTTTATCCATTTATTATTTGTGCTCCTTAAAACCATTAATATATTGATAGAAACCTCTGCTTTTCAGATTGTTGTGGATATTGGCTCATCTTTGTAGCAAGGAGCGTCGTCGAACTTGTCCTTGCATATGTCTCAAGTATCGTTGTTAATCTTGCAATCTTGATAGAGGTTTGTGTATACTTATTCTTATATATTGTGAAAATTTTTGCTTAATTTTGGAATGTGTTCTTGTGGGATAGAAGTTTGATAACTTCTTGTTGGATAGGTGTTTGAGGAATTGTTACTATTCCAGAACAGTGATAGTATAGTATTTTCACTATTCAAGAATAGTTATATTAAGATATATATATATATATATACATAGTTATTAGTATCGTACGATACGTCACAATATACCTGAAAAACGATGCGTATTGTGTCTCTGTATCGTTTTTATACCGTATCGTATGATACACGATATAATACGCCTGATATGTACGAAACATGACGATTCTTTTTCTTTTTTTTGGTTGAAATGACATCGTTTTTTCCCGGAACTTATTTTTAAAGCACTAGCTTGTGAAATAACGTCGTTTTAATGATTATGGTTTAAAAAAAATAAATAAAGCCTGATGTTAAAGTTATTTAATTGAATTTAAAATTCTTGATTAATATTAAGGTTATTCAAGCAGTTGAGATTAAAAGTTTGAATTAGAGGTCTTTGCATTTTGATATTGAACTATGTTGAGAACTTGAATAGTTGGTGGAATATTAATAAAATACTATGTTATTATGACGCTATGCCTTTTTTGACAAAGGTATATACATATTTTATTATTAATTATTTAAAAATTAAAATAATTTTTGATTAGTGCATATATTGTATCGTCAGATTCGTATCGGGATTTTGATTAGTGCTCTGTCTCATCTTTCTCAAAAAAGTTTACCGCATGAATGTTTGTCTATTTATAGATTGGCCACGTTTTTTGTGACACTTTTATCCTTACACATGTCTTGCCCCCATCACAAAGGAAAAAGAAATTGAAAAAGAAAAAAATAATGGTCCTAGTTCTGTCCTATGGCAGAAATCCTTTTGTATTTGGGCATGGGAGCATCTATAAAAGGGATACAACATCAAGCACAAATGCACAATTGAAATGAAGCAAAGTTATGAATGAGATAACCCTAAATTTTTGCTGGTAGAGTTCTAATACGGTTTCGCTACTGTAACACAAGGTTTCTACCATGTGGGGGACTAAGATTGCCAATTCAGAGTTTTCATGTAATAGGTCATAATTGTTTAGGATTGTGAATGCCCCTGATTATGTTTGTCATCTGCTGCTTGATTATTGCAAAATCTGTTGGATTCTGGTTATTGCATTTATTTAATAGAATACGTGAACAAACATTGATATTTACTATTTGGAAGTGGAATAAAACATACAGTTGGAGTGATGTGAAGGTTCAAAATAAAAGGGGAAGAAACCCATTTTTGCTATTGATTAGTTGACTCTGACTCTTGCGATTTACCTGTATACTGCATGAATATTTTATGTCTAACATGCCTTGATAAGTAGTTTTTTATACTTTGCAGGTTTGTAGTTCCCAGATCTTGTGAAAAAAGTGGCATGCACGACTCGAGGAAGCCTTTTGATTGTATGGCCTTAACCAGACATCCAGTTGGTGATATTGAAGTTTTTGAGTTTCTATTTATGTACCCGGGAGAAACTGCTGTTGTTCTAGGACTTGGACACTCATGTCTATTAGTTAAGCAGTTCTTGTTTCTCTGTTTATGCCGAAACATGTGGTTTTCCACAATCTACCTCCCGTAACTGTTTTAATTAAGTTCCTTTACAGGCATAGTTAGAAAGAGCGGTGGACATGATTTTCAAGGCCTTTATTTCTGGTTAGGGTCCCCCCTCCGGTCTTGACTTGTCTAATCTTGACACCCTAGAGGACGTTTGAACTTCAACAACCTTCCGTTTGATATAGGCTCTTTTGAATCTAAACTGCTGTGGTTGTGCAGGAGTTAAAAGCATCCCCCTCAAGCTACCTGGACTGAACTTCATACTGGAGTGCAAGTGGCACAGGGTTGATGCTTCTACCTAGTGAACAAGGATGGACTTTTTGATGCTTTGCACTTGGATGTAAGGGAGTTTGAGGGTGATCTAAAAACAGTTTTGTTTCTAGTTCTACTGTAGAAATGTGGCTAGTTTGAGTTGCAGGGAACCAAGGAGCGAGGATGGAATTTTCATTTTTTTCCCCATCGAAACAACTAAACAGTTTCTTCTTGTTTAGATTAGTGCTTTTGAATATTTTGGTAACATTTTCTGAATTTTTTCTTTATTCTGTGTAGGAACATATTTTTAGAACATTTGTGAAACACTTTTGTTTTTAAACTGATCG